TATTTCTGTCATGTATCGTGTATCGTATATCTCAACGTCGACAGTCGACCCACCCTTTTATGCTCCTTGAACGTGGCTGCCGCCCTCCTCCCCCTCACTCCGGCCTCTCCCCCCCCCTCTCCCTAGGTCCTCCGTATCGTGCTTCAGGCTCCCGGTCTCACCGGGGCCATCTGCGCACCCCGGGAGCTGGTGGTGGAGACGGTGTTTAAGACGGACGAAACGGGTGAGGGTGGGGAGAAGGGAGAACTCGCGCCGCGGGATTGGGTGGGGCAAGCGTAATGGAGGTCGGGCAAGGGAGCGGGGACGGGGGTTGGGGGTTTGGCGCCCCCGGGGGGGGGAAGGGGGGAAAGAGATGTGGGTAGGGGAGGGGAGGCGCCTGTGGAGTAGTGGATCCGGGATTCGGGTCGGAGGGTACTTGGTTGTATGCGATGGGTGGAAGTGTAAGGGGGTAAAAGGAAGGGCTGCACAGCGTGGAAGGTTTTTGTTTTTGGGGGCGGGAGGAAATATTAGCTCCCTACTTGTTCTTCTTCCGCTGCTAAACCAAATCTATATTTTGGAAAGGTATTAGCCGTTTTCTCTGTAGCGCACTGTCGTTGGCACTTGTTGGCACCGTCACCGTCACCTGCCCTGCATGTCTGCTCTCCTCATTGGGTGTGTACCCGCGGTTGCTGATGCGCACTACCTGCCGTGGTGTGCTTGCTTGCTTGGTCTTTCCTAGCCTGCCTAGCCTGCCTAGCCGCCAAATCACCCAAACACGCCCGCCTAGAGCCAGTTGCGTCGTTGCTTTTAAGGCTCTTACCCAACATCTCCATTTTGCATTATTATTATTATTATTATTATTATTGCTGCTCAACATCGTCATTATCATGATCATGGTGTTGATCATCACCATGATCATTACCGTTATCACACACGTCCTCACCTCACCGCCATGACGATGTGATTCTCTCCCACTCCCCCACAGGTCCGACATTGGTGCTCATGTTCAACAGCTGCGAGGTGCCTGCCAGGTTTGTGGAGCGGAAGGCAGGGGGACAACAACAACAACCAGGCCAACAACTAGGCCAACAACAAGGACAGCAGCAGCAGCAGCAGCAACAGCAAGCAGCCGAAGAGCCCGAGTCGTGCCAGGTACGAGCGGCGGTGGTGCTCGTGCACTAGTGCAATCGCACGGCATGACGCGGGTGTGCAGCTAAACACAACATCTCTGACTCTCCCCCCTCCTCCCGCGTCTTTTCCCCCGGCTTCAGCCCTCTTCCCCCGCCTCACCGAACACCCGCGTCGCGCAGAAGCAGCCACGCCGCATTTTTACACTCCTTGGTTCCGCCCTCGCCCGTCTTCCTGCTAGCGTCCTCCTACAGTCTCCCCCCATTACCCATTCCCTGGTATCTGGATTTTCATAAAAAAAAGAATTCTCTTCTGTGATTTGTCAAACCCCACGTCATCCCTTGTCACGCTATTGTCGCATGTTGCCTTGTAGGCCGCCTCGGAGGGCGGTCGCCGCAGCTGGTGGCGCCGGCCCGTGCTGGCACGTGTTCGTGGGGGTTACACGATGGCTCCCCTGGAGGAGTATTCGCTGGATAACTCCCCGGAGGCGCTGGTCACCTGCATCATGAAGGTACGATGGTCGTACTTTCAAGAAATGCCGTACTCGCCTGCAGGGACTGGGGAGGCGGGGGGACGCGGGAATCGCTTCTGTTCGACCGTTTCGGAGTTTCTGTTTTGACGAGATGGATATGTATGTACGACATGGACTTGCATCTTAACTTTGTTTGCTGAGTCTTGGGCTTTGCGTCGTCTTGCGCGCGTTTCCACTGGTCTGTGTGTTCTTCTCCCTTTTTCCCTTCGTCTGCAGCTGGTCTTTTGCTTTTTGCTTGTGTTTTCCTGCCTTCCCCCCCCCTTCCCTGGCAGCAGCTTCACTCGTTCGTGGTTCGTCTTTCTCCCCCCTTCCCCCTACGCCGGAAATTCGTTAATTCGTTTCTGGTTTCCTTGCATATGGTTCCCCCCCCCTTCCCTCGAGCCCCAGGTCGACCTGGGCGGTGTGTGCGGGGAGCGCAGCTGGGTACGGCTTGCCTCCGACCTGTTAGGCTGGACGGATGCCTTCCTGGACCGAATGCTCATGGCGGTGACGCTTCTGAGAGACGAGGTGGGATTGGCGGCTGGTGGGGTGGTGGGGGGGTGGGGTTTGGGGTGGGGTGGGGCGGGGTTTGGGGTGGGGTGGGGCGGGGCCCTTTGGTGTGGGGAGAGGATGACGATAGTGAGATGTGGCTTGGGGGGTACATGGGTACGAAAAGCTGACCCGCGGGTGTTCCTGTGTACGTGTTCGTGTATGTGTATGTATGGGGTTCAGAAACATAGGCATGCCACATCTCGCACTCCGCAGTTCAATTACAGAACCTTGGACTCGAACCTGAGAGCTCTTGGGAGCAGTTCCAGCGATCCTCGCTTGTTCCGTGGCGCCGCTCCCCCGCACTAGCATCGCCATGATACCTGCTTTCCCCGACCCCCCAACCCCCGCGGAGCCCGGAACCCCCGCCTGGACCCCGCCGCCGCCGCCGCCGCCGCTGCCGGCGGCGGCGGCAGCTCATTCCTTGTTTCCTTGCATATGATTTCCCCCAAACCCAATCTCGAAGTATCTGCTTCAAACGTCAGTGGTTCGACTTATCCCCCAACCCTCAACCCCCGTCGTGCGCAGGTGGAACAGGGGCGCTTCGTGGTTCAGCCTCTGAACATGCTGGCTTCGTCCTCCCGGTTGAAGGTGGGGTGCTCGGGTGCCGTTAGTGTGGCATTTGGTGTGGCTTGGAGTCGCTTCGAGGGGCTTGATGAGTGGGATTTCACGGGAGGTCCTTCGTGGGCCGTTGGGTTTGGTGTCGCAGTATAGTCTTAAGAGTGTGGCCTGAACAAATGTCCATTAACGGATTTGATTCAAATTCAAAAAGCAACCGCCTCCAATTGCAGTTCACGTATCTGACAGTCTGTCTTCTTCCAATTTCTGCCTAAATTGTTTGCTTTCATGGATATTTGTATTTTTCTTTTATTTGCTTTCAGGATTCCTGTTGTGGAAGAGATGTTTGATATGCGATGCGGATGCGGATGCAGATGCGGATGCGAACTTTTGGTGCAACGATGTTTTCCGTTTCCTTACAATAACCATGTTTCTTGCATGAAGGTCATGACTAAGTTTCATGATGTGTCAACAAAAGGAAAAAAACTCTACATCACTTCTAGCCAAAATGTTCGCCATTACATCTCGCCCCGCCCCGGCATACGGAAATATTCCTCCTCCTGCTACAGGATCGTACCGATCGCGATGGTGCCGGATTTTCCTCCGCCGCGGATCTTCCAGGGCTGGGGGCTGGCGGGGGTCGGAGTGCCGAGACGAACATTAACAACCTCAACAACAACAACAGCAGCGCCACCGCCAGCATGACAGCATGTAATGTGCTGGTGGCGGCCTGTGGGGCCAGCCGGGCGATGCGCCGCAGCTCCGCAGCGACGGCCACCACGACGGCGGCAGCGGCAGCGGCGGCGTCTAGGAGGTTCAGCCTCAAAGAGGTGAGGTGGTGGCAAGGGCGGTGTGGGTGGCGACGGTGATGGCTAGGGGGATGGCCATGTTGGTGGAGGGGCTGTGTGAAGTAGTAGTGGAGATGCTAGTTGGTGTTGTTGATTAAAAGGGAGGACGTGGGCTGGTTGAGACCTTCCACGATCTATTAGAAGCTCAAACCCTTTTTCAGCGCCCGATCCGAAGGAATTTACCTACCCCTACCTACCTACCTACCTGCCTACCTACCTACCTACCTACCTACCCCTACCTACCCACCTACCTACCTCGCCTGCCTACCTGCCTACCTGCCTGTTTACCTACGCGCACAGGGTGATCGCCCCAGCTTGGTCGACGCTACGACGGCTGCCGCCGCCGCCGCCGCCATCGCCACCGAGACGACCAACGTCAGCTCTCGTACTCGCATTAGCAGCGTAGTGGAGATGACGGGAAAGCTTGTGGATGGCGAGGAAGGGGAGGAGGGAGAGGCGGCGGTGGCGGCAGCGGCGGCGGCAGTCGGGGTGCATGGGTCTGACGGCGGCGCGGCTGTGGCCGGTAGCGGCAGCGGCTGCTGCGCTGCGGTGGCGGCGGCAGCAGCGGTGTTGACGGATGGTCCCGACCGTACCACGGCACCCGCTTACGAGACTATGGAAGAGGTTCGCCCGGGGTGGGGCCGGGAAAGTTGCTTGCAGTGTGTTTTGGGGCCTTGGGGTGGTGGTGTATGGTTATGGAGCAACAAGAGTGCCCGCGCGCGCGCGCCTGCATGTGTGTGTGTGTATGGCAACCCCCCGCCCAGCTAGGGGTGATGTGTATGTGCGCGGAATTGAAAGGAAGAGGAAAGAGGGGGTGGGGTGGTACACGTTTGATGAGTCCCAACCAACCCCGCTATCCCCCCCTCACGTGTTTACAGTGAGTTTGCAAAATGGCTTCACGGCGTCGCCTGGTAACCGCCTACATGACCTCCCGCTAGCAGCTCTTTGCGGATTCGGAGGCTGCAGCTGGGTTATTTTTCAATCTTTTCTCACCCCACCCAACCCCACCAAACTCTTTAACTTACTTGACCTCCCGTATCCCTGCCATATGATGAACCCCCCACCTCCTCCCTATCCCTCTGCTATCAGCTTCACTAGTCCGTGGTTTGTGTCCTTTCCCCCAATTCTTTACTTCTGGCGCATCAGTCTTTCCGTGGCATCAGCTTCGCTCGTTCGTGGTTCGTATCTTTCCCCCCAATCCCCACTGTCACTCGTTTCGTGGTTCGTCTTCCTTTTGCCCCCACTGTTTCCCCGGGTCACCCAAATCCTAATGGGTGTTGTAGTATAAACCGCAAAACGAAGTTTGAGTTTGCTTAACCCTAAACCCCCCCTGGACCTGGTTCGTCTTTCCCCCCCTGGACCTCTCAGGTTCTGTCCCGCATGCGCGGTCTGTCGCTTCTGGATGTGTCGGTGTGGGATAACCTGCATCAGCCGGAGAAGGACGCGCCGTTCAAGGTACCCGGGAGGGAGTCGAGGACGGGTCTGTGCGCGTGTAAACGTGTACGTGTGTGTATGTGTGTGTATGTGTATGTGTGTGTAAGTGTGTGTATGTGAAGACTGTTTCACATCGAACGTTCTTCTTTCCATGGTTGGATGTGGATGTGGATGGGGGTGGAGGTGGGGGGATGTGGGGCTTTGCGGTTTTCCGTCTCAACCCACTGTCCACACATGTCCCCTCCCCCCTCCTAAAAATGACCGTAAAGGCCGTGAACGTCATTATTACCCCTTGGATTTCCTGCTTTTTGCATAAGAGTTGCGCATCCTCCTGCTCCCCTCCATCCCACGACCTCACGACCCTCCCGTGTCTCTTCCTCCGGCTCCCCCTCCTGCCACCTGCCTTCCGGCTCCCCCTCCTGCCACCTGCCTTCCGGCTCCCCCTCTTGCCACCTGCCTTCCGGCTCCCCCTCCTGCCACCTGCCTTCCGGCTCCCCCTCCTGCCACCTGCCTTCCGGCTCCCCCTCCTGCCAGATCCGTGGCCCCACCTACTTGAAGGACCGTAAGAAGATTCCCGCGGGCAACAGCAAATTCGTGTTGGGGTCCATGGACGTCATTCAGCAGCCCCCCGGTGTGCTGCATGAGCACGTAGCCAGGTTCATACCTGCCATCAGGTGAGGTGGGGGGGGGAGGAAGGGGGGAAAGAGAGGGGATAAGGGGGGAGGGTTTGGTGGGGGTGAGACTGTTGTCGTCATAGCTGTCAGAGCAGCAAAAATCGGCGATGCTAGAACTCCCTGCCGTGTGTGTTTTGCCGGGCGCTATGTGTCGGGACGGGGGTTATCGGGATGAGGAGATGGCGGTGCGGTGCTGGGTTTGGCGGGTCTTCACATGCTGGTTAGGTTGCAGAGGCTGTTAGGATCGCAGAGGGGGCGGGTGGGTACGTAAGGCGAGGAGGAGTCTTGCCCACACGGCACTTGGGCTAGGCTAGGGTACTTCACCGGGCCGTTGCGTCGGTTTACAAAGCACCCACCCACTACCACTGTCCATCCACCCACCCACCTACTACCCCCCGGTGACGTGTCCCCTCCCCCTCACCTCATCCCCCTCTTCCCCCACCCCCCCAACCCCCTCCGGCAGGCAGTCGGGTGCCCCCTTCTCTGTGGTGGTGCACCTGGTGATCCCGGGTACTCCCCTGCTGGGTATTGTGGCCACGTTCGTGACGGACCGCCACCCGAACACGCTGGGAACTCCCCCCGCACAGCCCATGGAGGATGACCATGACTGGGAGCCATTCGACTTCGTACTGCA